AGGTTGTGCAGGCGCACCGCGTGATTCATGGCGTACGGCCAAAATTTCTTTGGCAGGCCGGACTGGTTCATGATGGCGCGGACTTTAGTCATGAGGGTCCGATTGACCCGCTCCGCGACACCTTGCTGCTGGTGAGCGTAGGGGAGCGAAATCTCATGCTTGATCCCCTTCTCGGTGAGGACGCTCTCCAGTTCGTTGCTGCGAAATTCCTTGCCCCATCACTCTGCCAGATCTTCAGCTTTCGTCCTGACTGGCGTTGCGCGTGCGCGAGGAAGATGCGGAGTACTTCTGGAGCCTTGGAGCGCGCGTCGACGTTGGCGACCCACACGTGGCGTGAGTAGGCGTCGATGAAGGTCAGCGTGTACTTTTCGCCGTTGAGTCCGTCGCAGGTGAGCACGATGAAGTCGCTGTACACCTTTTCCAGCTTCTTGTAGCGATTGGTGCTCGGCTCCAGAGAGGGATAGGCGGTGTGGGAGAGTGCAGCTGTGGGGCAGACGGTGCAAGTGGTTGGATGGGGGGTGGTGTGCTGTAACTCCGTTCCGTCGGGGCGCAGCAGTGCTCCTGGCGAAAAGACTTTTGCGCGGAGGCAGTTGGCAAGTGTCTGGCGCGAGGGGTGTCCCATCCGCTGGTGCCAGAGATCGTCCTCGGCGCGAATGCCGGAGGTGCGCTTGTAGCGGGTGTGGTACTCTGCTGCCTCCTCCGCCGTGAGTTCCGGGATCTGGAGTGGAGGTTCTTCCTCTTCTCCTGGTTCTGCTTCGTTGTTCTCCTCCTCTGCTTCTGCTTCTGCCGTTGCCTCCCCTTCTGCAGGTGCCGTTGTGAGGTAAAGCGCCAGAAAATCACGGTCGGGGATGATCGTGAGCGGGGTCGTGGTGCCTTCGATGAAGCGCGCAAACGGATCTGGGCGGGAGATTGGACCGAGTGAGTCCCGCGGAGGCGTTGGCGGTGCATTCCCCTCCTCAATCTCCGACCAGGGATCGCTCCAGCGATGAGGTGAGCGCGGAGGTTCGCGAGTGCGCGAGGGTCGTCCGAGAGGAATGACAACGCGGGGTGGTGCTCCGCCTCGCTCGGCTTGCATTTCGCGGTCGGCTTCCTCCAATTCTTCTTGCGTGAGTTCCCCTTCGTCGGGCTCGACTGTTCCCCATCCTCCCGTGGTGACCGTGCCGCTGGCGCTGGCTCCCCATGCTCCCGTTGCGGATGCCCAGGTTCCGCCGGGAACAGGTTCGTAATCCTCATCACCCCATGCTCCACGACGTGCGGACTCTTCGTCCCATCCTGCCGCGACGCGTTCCTCGTACAAATTCTGTTTCTTGTCCGCCCGTGCCTTATCTTGTTCTTCCTTGACGCTCAGCTCCTCTGGTGCGTCAGGATCCTTCCAAGCTGGATCAATCTTGCGGCGGTAGACTTCGCGAGTGTATGGGCGCGGCCGTTCTTCTTCGTCGAGGGTGCGCGCGTTGGCTTCGAGGACGAACTTTAGGGTGTCCGAGTAAGGTCGTGGTCGCTCCGCTCGTTCCTGTCCGAACACCTTGCTTGGCTCGCCGAAGATGCGGTGAGATGACACGGCAAGCTCTTCGGGAGTCATGCCTGTGGGTTCTTCCTCCGCGCTTTCTGCTTCCTGAATGGCCGCATATTCTCGCTCAACCTGCTCCGTGCGGCTTGCTGTGGGTGTATGGCAGGTGGTGCACAGGCCGTTGATGTCAGGATCGTGCAGATTGATCTCGCGGGGGTGAGGACTGCGTCGAACCCACGGGCGTCCGTCCGGGTGCTCCCATGATTCCTTGTTCATGAAGGCGAACTCGAGTGGGACAAGATCCACGAGCTCGTCGGAAGATGCTTGGCAGGAGGGTACGTCGAAGTCCAGGATGTAGATTCCGTTGATGGAACGTGCTCGCCCGAGATATTTAAATGACTCGGGGGGTGTGTCTGGAGGGGCGTATGTGAGGATGAGATCGCGTGTTTCTAAATCCGTGTGAATAATGACTCCGCAGTCACGGAGTTGTCCGGCCGAGAGCAGATTGAAGCGCAGATTCGGGACGTAGAGCACGTCGTTGAATGAAATGTGTGTGTTGCTGTCTCGTGCTTGCAGGACGACAGTCCTTGTGAGTTGGCGCGCAGCTGCTCGTTGTTGGCGACGGTGACGTAGGTTGCGGGGGCGCAGCTCAGGTTGGAGACATAGCGCGTTGATCCCACCATGTGCTGTCCGCAGCAGCTGTCCAGGTACCATGTGTTATGGTTGTCGGTGTTGTTTCGTCGTAGCAGTAGCGCCAATCGCGGAGTCACCAGGGTCGCCTTGTAGCGCCTGTGAAAGAGTAGGTCTTCGTCCTCCTTCCAGCCCACTGGTACGTAGCGCTGATTGTCATGTGGCGGGCTTTCCCGCAGTGTGATTGGTAGATTCCAATCTTGCTCGTCTTCGTCATAATCGTAGTAGTGGTCCTCAGTGAGGGGATTGTTCCATCCCTCTTCCGGCTCCAGAAGTCTTCCTTGGACTTCGTTCTCCTCGTCAGGTTCAGCAGTGCGGCGACGGCGCGACGCCATGTTCGCAATGATGTTCCTCGGAGCTCCTGACTGGGGTCCTTGATTTTGTTGGTGTTGATGTTGTGCAGGAGAACGAGCTTGCTGATGCTGAGGTTGAGAATGACGAGTGTCTTGTCGGCCGGCCCAGTTGTTGTGGTGAGTGGAATTTGGGTGGCGGAAGTTGGATCGGGACTTGCATCGATCCGTTGAGTGTCCGAAGACTTTGCATATTTTGCAGTAATGGCGCCTTGGTTGTCGTCGCTCTTCTCGATTGTCCGTGTAGAAGGCGAGGCGCTCTCGGCGCGGCGCGGAGCTTGTTCTGCTCGAGTCCATGTCCTGCTGTTCGGACAGGAGTGCGGCGCATAGCGCGGCTTCGGATAGAGTTCCTCGCTGTCGGAGTAGCGCTTTGTAGGGCTTCCACTCTGGCCCGAGTCCTTGAAGGACTATGTTGACGAAGATCTCTTCCGAGATCGTACTCCCGTGCTTCGTGATTTGGTCACGAATATTGCGACAGCGGTTAATGTAAGGATTTGCCTTCTCCCCGTGCCCCATTTTAATCTCCAGGAGTTGCTGCAGAAGCCTGCTGGCGGTGACCGAGTCCTTCGGCTGGTAGACTTCAACAAGATGCTTCCAAGCTTCCAGGGCTGGAGCGTCGCTCTCTTTGTAGGAGCGGATGTTGAGTTGTTCCGCAGGCGTCATGTTACGTAGCAGCACATTGTAGGCCATGAGGGACTCACTGTAGTACTGAGCCCTGGCGACGTCGGTGTTTTCCACCGGTTTAGGATAGGAGCCGTCGAAGTAATGGTAGATCTGCGCCGTTTGTAGGAGGAGCTCAAGCTCAAAACTCCATGTATAGAAGTCTTTGCCGTCAAACGCGGCAGTGGTCTTAATTTTTGAAACGCTGAGAAAGCGTGCTTGCGCAGAGTTGATAGCTTCATCACTTGGACGGGGGGCAGTTGTTGTTGATTTGTCTGTGTCGAGGGAGAAGGTGTGCGCGGCGGTATCACGGCTTTTCTCAGCCGGTTGTCCAGGTTGTACTGGTTGGGAAGAGGTTCCCGCATCGCCTTTGCGCAGGTCTTGGAGTTCTTTCTCCATGGTTGAAAGTCGAGCGAAGAGTTGCTCGAGGGCGGCAGTGCCGATCGTGGTTGTCGCCTCATTTGTCGCAGCCGGATTGGATTGTCCTTCAGCCGTTAGATTTGTTTGGCCTCCGGATCCTCCGGCCATCTTGGTTTTGGAGCGTGTGCCGCTCGCCAGATCTTGGCTCGGCGAATTTCACGGAAGTGTGATTGCGAAGAATCCCTGAGTAGCTCTCATACCATGTTACAATCCCAAGGGGGACTTAGCGAAGGATCGTTCAGGGTTTATCGCAGGGCAGCGGAAGTTTGAATCTCAGGTCAGAGTGAATGTAAATGACTGAGTTGATAAAAGCATGCATACATCGAGTTTATATAAGAGTACAGGGGAATACGAAAAGACCTAGACTAGCCATGTACTCTAAGGGGTACATTCCCTTATTACATCGAATTCAAACCGTGCGGCGCGGGAACCCGTTTTGAACCTGTTCCCGCTCTTTTCACTTCGAATGTTTCTGCCTGCATCGGTCTTGGTTGGGCGGTTGCTGCGTCGCTTCGACTCTTCTGACTCCTCGACTTCGTACTCGGTAGAGTCGGCTCCTGCAGCATACAGGAATGCCTTCTCATAAAGTTTCATATCGTAACACTAGGAAAGTAGCTCTGATACCAAGTGTTATGAGTTGCATTAAACAGAGTGCGCGGAAGACTTCTATAAAGAGACAGTGATTACAGAATTACTGAATGACGATTGAATGAACAAGAGAAGCATTTATAGGGCGAATACGTGCTAGGCGCGGACCTCGGGAGGTGTGAGGTTTCGATGTGCCGTGATTGGAGCGGGGCGACTCGGCAGTGGTTCGGGCCGAAATGTACTATGCCGAACCGAAAACCTGACGCGAAGTGCTCGGGGCTGTCCTCGGTAGGAGCAGCTTCGGTAGTAATGAATGTATATTCATTACATGGTGGTTGACATGCAAAGTGTCTCGAGAGGAGGATCTGTATACAGGATAGATGGGAGGAAAGAAAAAGTGTGTAACTCTTAAAGCGAGTTACTTCTTACAGCATCCCTTCCACGCCCTTTCCCCACCAACATTCCAACCAATCGCCATACTCCCCGATTCCATGACAGACCGCACCTTGAAAGCTCCGCGCGTGTGGCTTTCCGCTCCCCCTCTTTCGCCTCCGCGCATTTCTTTCCCCGCCGCTCCACGTGCCACTGCGAGGACGAACATAACCGTTCACAACTATTTGATCCTACTTCCATTTCCATTCCGTTCCCGCCTGCTTTCTCACCTTGCAAAGCATCGAGTCGCGACCGACGAGACCATCGTTTCCAACCGGCACTTGCGTTGGGCGTCGCAGCATTACCTACTTTACGCACTCACTCCCACCCGCACCCGCACCCAGATTCACAACATGGCCTCCAGACAAGTCTTTCGCCGCTCCGCCGACATCCTCCGCGCCTCCTCCGCGCGCGTTCCCGTCTTCCGCCAAGCAGCATCCGCGCTGCTGCAAACGCAGCATTCCGCGCATTACGCCACGTCGTCGCCCTCCGCTTCCGCCTCCCCCGCCCTGCCGACAGCATCCCTTTCCTCGCGTGCTCCAGTCGAATCGCATGTGTCAGGTACCGGTAGAATCACAGCTGTAATGCGATGTGCTTAGTTCGAAAGCGCTGCTGTAGTTTCTCAGTCGGACTACGCTTATATATTTCTTTCGAGGCGAATGCATCGGCATGATCAGCTCCTCTCCCTTCCCTTCCCGGCCTTCCTCTCCGCCCCTCTCGTCCTCACACCAGCGGCGTCCTTCCAGCGGCGAGGCTTCGCCATCACGGCCACGGAGGATCTCGTGAAGCTGCCACGTGTCACCGATCCGAGCGCGCTGAGCACGCTCAAGGAAGCTCTGGCGACGGGGTGGGTGCCGTGCGACTCGGCCGTGATCGCCAAGATCGACAAGACGATCAAAAGCACCGAGTAAGACGGCGGCACTGACGGCACTCACAGCACTCACAGCGGTGACAGCAGTCTGGCAGTGAGTTTGGCTCCGTGTGACTCACCTAGGTTGGACCCTTCTTTGCAGAGAATAAATTAGCTCAGCGGTTGTCAGTATAGTGTACGCTGACGTCGTTTTGAGCTCTGAAGGCGGTGCCTTGAGCGTCCCAGCCTCCCAACCTCCCAACCTCCCAGCCTCCCAGCCTCCCGCTATAAGGTCACTGGAAAGTAGGTGTTTTGATCATCCAAAATCCGGCATATAACATCCAGGCAGCATGCAACATGCAACATCCAGCATGCATGCAACAAGCAACCACTATCCAACATATATGCGGAGAAGTCCGCCCCCGAGCTCTCCATTCCTCCCCACCCTTTCGCCTCATCTTTTGTCCTTCCTCTTCCCCGTGCCATCTTTTGTCCTTCCTCTTCCCCGTGCCATCACGAGCATCTAGTGACGGCCGTTTATCTCTGAAGCATTTAAAACAACTTTCACTCTGTTTCGCCTACAACCCAGCAGTGATGCCAGCTGTGCCAGCGGTGCAGGACATGGCGCAGGAAGTGTTGTCATCATTGCTGACAGCAGCAGCTCACGTGGTGCACGTGGTTAGAGAAGCTGTGATTGGTGTTATCAATCTCACCTTATTTTTCTCCCTCTGCCTCCTGCTGTCTCACATGATGGAAGCATTGACCCTGCTGCTGCGTCTTTCCAGTAATTTAGGATTCGATCGGGGGGAGCTTGAATTTCGTTATCTCGTGCGTTTTTCAATTTCCATTTCTCGCCCTCCTCCACCCCCATGCTGCGTGGCATCAGTGACGCGGTGGCAAAGGAGGCGCTGTCGGCGCTCAAGGCAGCAGCGGGGGCGGTGGAGGTGTTTGGGGAGAAGCTGGAGCTGCTGCGCCTGGAGCTCGATGAACTCAGTGGCGGCAAGTTCGGTGGCGAGGTGAGAGCCCGCTTATAATGAGGATGTGCTGGGTGTGCTCAAATGGGAGATGGTAGTGATATGTGTACAGTGTTTGGTGATGGTGGCGTATCTCTCCCCCCCCCTTTCCCTTTTCACGCACCTTCCCTGCCTGACACAGAGCATGGGGTGTGTGTGTGAGAGAGCATGGGGGTGTGTGTGTGAGAGAGCATGGGGGTGTGTGAGAGCATGGGGGTGTGTGAGAGCATGGGGGTGTGTGAGAGCATGGGGGTGTGTGAGAGCATGGGGGTGTGTGAGAGCATGGGGGTGTGTGAGAGCATGGGGGTGTGTGAGAGCATGGGGGTGTGTGAGAGCATGGGGGTGTGTGAGAGCATGGGGGTGTGTGAGAGCATGGGTTTGTGTGAGAGCATGGGGGTGTGTGAGAGCATGGGTTTGTGTGAGAGCATGGGGGTGTGTGAGAGCATGGGGGTGTGTGAGAGCATGGGGGTGTGTGAGAGCATGGGGGTGTGTGAGAGCACACAATGGTGGCCCGTGCATGGTGGCCCGTGCATGGTGGCCCGTGCATGGTGGGGGGCCTTTCTCCAAGGTGGGCCTTGCGACTCTCGTTCTGATCAACGCACATGCACCAACGGACTCTGAACGCTCCGCTCTCACGCCGATCAGGACGCGCTTACAAGGGCGGACGAGGGAGGTCTCTTTTCTCAAAACACCTTTTCTTCTGCCCCCCAACCCACCCCTTCCCCCACTCCGCTCCCCCTCCCCCTCCCACCCTGCCCACTCCCCCAATGGCATGCAGGCGGTGGGGAAGATCCCCGAGGATGTGAAGGCGGCGCTGGCGTCGGCGCTGAGGCGGTACTCGGCGTACCTGGCGGCGTTTGGGGCGGAGGAGGGGTGGCTGCAGCGCAAGGTGAAGGAGGAGCTGGGCGGCGTGCTCATCACCGTCAAGCAGCGCTGCAGCGGGCTCGAGGAGGAGTGGAACCAGGTCCGAGGGGGGGGAGAGAGGGGGGGAGGGGGGGGGGGGGGTGTGTTGAGAGGGAGGCGGAGGGGTGTGGGAGGTAAGTGGAAGCAGGTCAGCGCTGTGGCCTTGGGGTGGGGGTAGGAACTGAGGAGAGGAGTGGTCGCTCACCACCTCACCTTTCCCCCCTCCACCTCCCCTGCCTCCTCCACTTCCACATGCTGCAGAGTCTGCTCATTACGTGAGAGCCTCTTCGTTCCTCTTTCCCTTGCCGTCTTTGTTACACCCCTTCTCTCCACTGCGTCCATCCCCTCTCCTCCCCTCCCCCGCCTCCTCCCCTCTTCTCCCCTCCCCTCCCCTCCCTTCCCTCCCCTCCCCTTCCCTCCCCTCCCCTTCCCTTCCCTCTCCTTCCTCAACCCTCCACTCTTCTCCACGTGCTGCAGATTAGTCTGCTGGGCACATCGGGGCTGTCTGGGTCCTACATTGAGCAGCGCGCACACTGACTTGTGTTCAAGACCTCATGACAAACCGGGATTACAGATGGCATGGCTGCCTTCACAAGTCAACTCCAAGCGGGGCTGATGCTCGTACAGTGAAAATTTAAAGTGGCTCCAGGACCTGATTCGAGTCAAGTTGTGGATCTCTCACGTGTCACAAGTGGGTCCAGTTGGCGCATTCTCCAATGGCTGTATGGCATCAATTGTTGATTGTCTGCAGTGTATGTATAAACCCTATTAGTGTATCTGGTTATCTGGGTGACTTCAACTGCTAAGAGCGAAAAAGTACCAGCAGTGAAGCATGACACGACAATTTCGGTTGGGGTTCGGGAGGGAACCCAGGCTGGTAACCATTGCACTCGAAACCCAAATTTCCCGTGGCGGAGCTCGCCGGAGTCGTTACATTTTTCGCTTCCGGTCAAGCTGCACCAGCCTCATTCCCAACTCCCACCCCATCTACGCGGTTGTTCATTCAGTCAGGCCGCGTGGTGCTGCTAGAATCGCTCATCGTCACGCAACGCACTGTCCCGCTTCTTGGTACCGAACCGAATTTCACTCACTCCTCGCTAAATCGTCGAGACTCTAAAGGCTGACGCACTACTCTGTTCTTATCTTATAACAGCAGCCATGAGGCTGGAGCCTCGAAATGTTCGACCTAGTACCGTCGTCTTCCTCCTCATTGTCGTTAAGTGTCTTTTCTGCGCTCTTCTGCTTCTCCCCAGCGGAGTAAACTCGCTCCCTCGTCATGGCGGCCGGCCGAACTTCAACGGTGGGTCCCTGCCTCCTCCTATCGACCCTTCACCCCGCTGCTGTGGCCTGAGACCCCGATACCGTCCAGTTTGCTTCTTTGCCTCTTCCTCCCGCGTAACCACTTTCCCTCGTCGCGTCGGCCTCTATGTCGCCTTTCTCGCCGCAGGACCTGGAAACAGACGAATAGAGTAGTTTGCGGCAGTCGTAAGTGACGTTACCGTATTCATGTATCCGTGCGCGCGAAAGTCGAAAGTTTTATCCTGTCTGAGGCGATCGCGCGCATCAGCGGCGCGAAGTCGAGATCGAGGCGCCGCATAGGGAGTGAGTGAGCACAAAGTGGGGACAACAGGCCGCGCATTCACCTCCCCGCTTAGTCATCATCTCTTGCCCTCCTTCCTCCCTGTTTCCCCCTGCTCTCCACCCTCCTTTCTCCCCCCCGGCTGCTCTCCGCCCACCTTGCCCCCCCTCCCCCCTGCTATCCTTTCTCTCCCCCTGATATTCGCCCTCCTTTCTCCCCTCGCTCTCCGCCCTCCTTCTTCCCCCCCCCGCGCTCTCCGCCCTAGGTGCTCCCCTCTTGCTCTCCGCACCCCTGGCTCCGCCCATTGCTCCTCCTCCTTGCCTCCCCACTTCATGTCACGCTGCTTCATTCCCCCATCGCTGCTTCATTCCCCCATCGCTGCTGCTTCATTCCCCCATCGCTGCTTCATTCCCCCATCGCTGCTTCTTCATTCCCCCATCGCTGCTTCATTCCCCCATCGCTGCTTCTTCATTCCCCCATCACTGCTTCATTCCCACATCGCTGCTTCATTCCCCCATCGCTGCGTCATTCCCCCATGGCTGCTCCATTCCCCCATCCTTATTGCACTTTCATTTCATCATAGCCCCGTGCTGTCTCGCATCATCGCTCCACCTTAGCCGCACCTGTTTTCACCATGCCCCCTGTTCCGCCATGCTGTCGCCTCGCCATGCCCCGTGTGTCCGTGCGGCAGACTGGGTGAAGTCGTACCGCCCCGACTTGGCCTCGCATCAGTTCGAACCCATCCGCATCCGCGCCCCCAGACAAATACCAGGTGGGCGTGAGTGAGTGGTCGAGAACAGATATGTTTGGGTATGACTTGGTGTTGGTGGGTGTGAGTGGGCTGGTGTGTATGTTTTGACGAGTGTGCTCCACGTATCACAACATATCCACATCCCTCTCATCTCCCCCCCTCCCCTTGAATACCCTCCTCCCCGACCATCAGCATCTGGTGTGCATGATTCCATCAGGTGAGCAAGCAGCTGCAGTGGAAACGATGGGTGCTGGTTTGAAGCTCACAGGCGTGGGTTCGGAGGGGTATCGTGGCATGCACATCCCCGTCAGAGGAGCTCCAGATCCTCCTCCCTCCCCTCACCCCCTCCCATTTCCCCCACCTCCACCCCCTTTTCCCTCGTGTTCCCCTCCTTTCCCCCCTGCCCTGTGTTCCTCCGATCCCCGCCAGAGGAGTAACGAGTCGTGCACATCCTCTTGGAGGAGGACCTGCAGATGCTCATGCTGCCCGTCCCCACCCGCTCCCATCCCCATCTTCCCTCATGCCCCTCTCTGAATCTCCCTGCCCCACGGGCTTTCACCAGAGGAGTACCGGGACGTGCACATCCCATCGGAGGAGGAGCTGCAGATGCTAGCTCAGTTTGGCCACGCGCACCACGCCTCATACTACTTCAACACCAAGCCCGCCGCTGCCATGGCCGCTGCTGCTGAAGCCGCAGCAGGGGTTGGGGTTGGCGACCAGAAGCCCTAGCGGGGTAGAGTTCTGCCTTGGCTTGTTGCAATCATAAAAGGAAGATTTCAGGGATTGTACACAGGAGTGTAAGCAATGAAAGTGTTTCGCTGGGAGGATGACGTTGCCTGAGTGAGAGTGTAATAACATGATAAATATGTGGTATGCCATTTCAGCGTAGTAACATGCTTTTGAACCCTTTCACTGTCACGGTCAAAATGACCTCTCCTGTTCTTCTCAGTAAGGAATTACCACAGGAATGTTCCTTACAAGAAATGCTTTCAGGACATTACAAATGTTACAAGCCAAAACTCCACATTTTCAACACATGTCGATCTTGACAGGAGGCAGATCGAATGTTATCAAGTACGCGGCGGAGTCAGGAGGTGTGGGAAAAGTGTTCGTACGGGCAGTGGCGTGACTCACTCTACACAAATCGAGCACACTTGGCCTCCCCTGTTGGTTGGTGCATCAAACAAAATTGCCGCTAGGTCGCTACTAGCACCCCCGCGGCCAACCCTGCCAGCAATCCCGCTTTCGTGCTGGCATGATGCGCACCGCCTTAGCCCTCTAACTTGCGGTTGTTTGTCGTCGCCTTTCTGCTGCAAGCTTAAAGCGCAAGGTGCGGTTCGCCGCCTGGCATGGCGTCGGCGTCTTGTTAGGCGGCGCTCATGGGTGGCAAGGCTAGCCGCGGATCATGGTGTAGCTGTCCCGTATCTTGCACCCATTGTCTACTAGCCTGCGCCCTAAACCACTGCAAATCTTCACTGGTCGCCGAATGTTGAGGTGTCAAGCCGGGTAGTTAAATCAGCTTCTAATTGGCCGCCCTAACGTGTCCGACACGGGCTCCTCGCCGCACCTCTCTTAATTTCCATGGCTGACGACACGCGCCCCTCGCATGGCGCCTGGTTGTCTGCCAGCGTGGCAGGCGAGTCGTTCCGATGCGCAACGCAGCATGATCAGTTCGACTCGGAGTCGATTGTAGGCCGTTTCAAACCACTCGCCGCCGTAGTAGACACGTCACGTTCCACCGTACCGCGACCTCGAAGCGAAAGTTCCCCGATGTAGGTACCTCGGTGACGCCATCATAGCTCAACGCAATTCGATGGTTACGACTCACGGGTAATGCTCAGTATAAAACCTGAAAGCCTCAAGGTGTGGAGCAGGTCCGCAACCAGTTTAGACAACTCTCGATTTGCCGGAAAACCTAGTACTACTAGAAGTCGTGCGTCATCAGCATCATGGGGCGCCGCGCTGCGTTGTCTCTCCTCTGCCGCATGCTGCTCTGTAAGCCTTACACAGTGCGCTGCTGCCGATTTTCACAATCAAACTCGCTCTGTGGAAGCCACCGCAAGGGTAGTTCTGTGTTAGTAATTGTGCCCACGTCTCAAATCGTGCTGTCTGCCTGCAGGTGCGACGGTCTGCACTGCCTATGGCGCGCCATTGTTCTCGCCGGTTCTCTCGAACCAAGGGAACGAGTCTTCAACCGCTTCTGCCGCTCAGGCCAGGCCCCTGATTTATAAGGGAAAGACACTCGGTAAGTGTCTTCCAGCGGTTATCCAGACCTTGCCAAAACCTGAAATCACCACTCTCTTATCCGGCGGTTTTCCAATAGTGGCAGCATTGGCTCTAGTATTCTCGCTGTGCGCACACATCAAGAATTAGAACCCGTTGGGCTTTACGATTGTAACACCCAGATAATGCGTTGCAACAGATAGTGTGTGTGGCAAAGAAGCCAGGTTTGTTTGTTTGTTTTTCTCCTCTATTTTGGTTGGAGGTACTAAGTAGCTGAAAAGGAGCAATCATCGCTGGAAATCACCAACTATTTCGTCTTCCCCATCCGTCCCGTTCCCATTTCCAGTGAAATACGCGGCCACTCTGCGTCCTACCGTGCTCAATGGGAAATTAGTCGGTGACGCAGGAGCGTCGGGGAAATATATGGTCAAGATAGTGAAGTATGCCGATTCTCCCCTCGTTCACTTCTCCCCTCGTTCCCTTGTTCCACTGGCGGCGTGACATGCTTCCTGTGGACTCACAATGACTTTTGAGTGTTGTCGAGTTGGGCTCCATGTCATTCATTTACGTGTCTGCACAACCAACCTCTCTGTGCTCTTGCAATCCTTGCGAGTGCTTGCTTTGAATCAAAGGCATTACTTCTCAGGGAGCATCATTCATGCAGTGCACTGGCTCTACTCTCTGAAACACTTCACCCTAAATCGTGGCCGGTGCCCTCGTGATTGACAGGTACTCTGCCTCGACATACAGCCTGGTCGGCAAGATCCTTTTTCTGAACCTCAAGGGAGGAGATCAACCCCTCGTGGGTTTCGGAAGTTCTTGCTCCACGGCGGTTCTCGAGCAAACGGCAGCGCTCCTGAACATCACAAGGCCCGGTGCTCGCGGCAAGCGTTACAGCTTTCGCCTTCACATTGAGCAGCCGATGGCTTCAAAGGGCGCTGCCATCGTGGGAATGGGACCGATTATAATGTCATCACGCGTCGTTGTAGGACGCGAAGGGAACCAACTCGCGCTCTGTGGCAAGGTTGTGAAAACGGGGAAATTGCCTTAGTATTTGGGTGTGTGGAAATGCATTGCTGGAGTTTCGTGCAGTGGTGTATCTTTCCAGGGTGGAGTGGAGATGCATGTGGAGTGGATGCATGCATGTGTAGGTGACATGTCAATGCTGAATGGTTTCTCAAGAATGAAATTGATGCCTGCTGTACTTCAAAAGTACCGTGAATTAGGCTGTTTGTTTGGTTTGCACATGGATGGACGTGGGCCATTGAGAGTAGACAAATGCATTGGTCATGGAACATAATAAGTTTTGTTGTGTGCAATCTTGGCTCACTTGTTCAATTGCGCCCGTAAATGTTCCCACTTTACACGCCTTCGTTACTGCTTCAATATCGTAAAATTTGGAGGTTTTAACTCATTTATTGAATTTCCATGTAGCAACTGCGTTTCACTGAACGTTTCGCACAACCCACACCCCACCAGTCACTCACAACGAGTGATCACCAGTCACCTCGTCTCGCCTCGCCACACACAAGTCGTGCGCCGCGCAAGCAACCGACCTCATCGATAGTGACGCCTGACAGCGCGACAGCCTCGCGTTCGAGCCCCCACACCCAGGGTTAGGTCCAAGCGGAATGCGCCCATCCGCCCGCGATACGCTGCTGCCCACGCGATGGGGCCCAGCCCGTCCGTGGATACGCCGACGCGTGGCGCTTCACGTGCCGCCACACGCCCGCTATTCCTTCGGAGGCACCCCGCAGCCCCCTAGGGCTCGAGCTCACGCAGCAGTGGCCGTGGGGGAGACGGATAGAAGGCGCGGTGGGGCCATGCCATGCGGTGCAGTGAAACGAGTAGCGGCGGAGCAGCGGCATGTCTTGCTGGCATCGCGCTGCAGCGCCTGCAAGTCGCCGCGCTGTCCTTCCCCGTGCAAGTGGCTTCAAAAGCGACCTGAACGCGTTTAGGCCTGAAGTTGGCCTCAGCGTGGCTGGGTCGCGTCGCCCAGGATTCTGCTTTCAAGGACACACGACTGGCTCTTGAGACACGGGACTCTCACACACGGGACTCTCACAAGGCGGCCTGAGGCCGCGCAGGACACGGATCGGATCAAGGCCACGCGACCGAGTAGCCAGTGCCGCCCTCTTCGCGAACCGCTTCTTCCGGCCGCCCTCCAGTCCCCTCGTGCGCCGCCCTCCAGTCCCCTCGTGCGCCGCCCTCCAGTCCCCTCGTGCGCCGCTAGCAGCTGTGCGTTTCGCCATGGTTCACGCGCACGCGCGCGTGGAGCAGCGCGCGCAAGCAGCTGCTGCCGCGCCCAGCAGCGCGCGGGGTAGCTTGCGCTGGGCCCACGGGCTCCGACCGCGGAGAGAGCAGCGCTGCGCGCGCGCAGTGGCAGTGCGGCTGCTGCTGGTGGCGCTGGCCGCGACGGCGCTGGTGGGCCGCATGGCGGTGGGCGCGCGCGGCCGTGATGACGTGGCTGCAACGCCAGGCGATTCGCAAGGTTGGTGGTGGGACGGGCGGGCGAGCGGGAGGGAGGGAGGGAGGGAGGGAGGGAGGGAGGGAGGGAGGGAGGGAGGGAGGGAGGGAGGGAGGGAGGGAGGGAGGGAGGGAGGGAGGGAGGGAGGGAGGGAGGGAGGGAGGGAGGGGGAGGGAGGGGAGGGAGGGGAGGGAGGGAGGGAGGAGGGAGGGAGGGAGGGAGGGAGGGAGGAGGGAAGGGGAGGGAGGGAGGGAGGGAGGGAGGGGGAGGGAGGGAGGGGAGGGAGGGAGGGAGGGAGGGAGGGGAGGGAGGGAGGGGGAGGGAGGGAGGGAGGGAGGGGGGAGGGGAGGGAGGGGAGGGAGGGGAGGGAGGGAGGGAGGGAGGGAGGGAGGGAGGGGAGGGAGGGAGGGAGGGAGGGAGGGAGGGAGGGAGGGAGGGGAGGGAGGGAGGGAGGGAGGGAGGGAGGGAGGGAGGGGGGAGGGAGGGAGGGAGGGAGGGAGGGAGGGAGGGAGGGAGGGAGAGGGAGGGAGGGAGGGAGGTGAGGGAGGGAGGGAGGGAGGGAGGGATGGGAGGGAGGGAGGGAGGGGAGGGAGGGAGGGAGGGAGGGAGGGAGGGAGGGGAGGGAGGAGGGAGGGAGGGAGGGAGGGAGGGAGGGGAGGGGAGGGGAGGGAGGGAGGGAGGGAGGGGAGGGAGGGAGGAGAGGGAGGGGGGAGGGAGGAGAGGGAGG